ATAGCACACAGTCCAGGTTTTGGAGCTGAATACCTCTCCTTACCAGGTTCTTTTTGGTGAGGCTTTTTTTTAAAGCCACTACCCAAAGTAGAGCATTTATCTTTGAAGGGACAACCTGGTTCCAAACTTTCTCAACAGGAAACTAATTGAGGGCCAGTTGCTAATTTTCTAGCAAAGGAACTAACAGAGAAAACTCCATCACTACTACAACTCCAGTTCCATGTGTCCTCCTCTAGAAGATCCAACTTATGGTTAGACAACAACTCCAATAGATATGAGATCCAATCTATTTCCCAATCTTGAAAGTGTCTCCTGAAAGAAGGGCTCCAAATCTGTAAATTGTCTTGAACCTCACAGCAAATAGCCACCAAGACATCTTGACATTTTGCAATCTGAAACAGCTGAGGGAATAACTCTGCTAAAGGCTGGTTGCTGCACCAACTATCCTTCCAAAAACTAACCCCTTGCCCATCAAAGGGAATATCTCCGTGATTTTCTTCCAAATAGAGTGACCTAATGAGGTAATGGAAGTGGCTGTCACCCAGTCACCTTTATCAGTATTGTATTTGGTTGCAATCAAGCTTCTCCACCAACTATCTCTCTCTTTGCCAAATCTCCAAATCCACTTACCCAGTAGAGCTTCATTAAAGGTTCTCAATTTCCTGACCCCTAGACCACCTTTTTTATTAGGGGCACAAACCTAGTCCCAACTAACCAAATGAATTTTCTTTTCTTCTTCCCACCCTCTCCACAAGAATTCTCTTTGCAGCTTTTCCACTTTTTGGGCTATCTTCCTTGGCATTGGGAAAAGGGATAGGAAATAGGACGGTAGACTTGATAAGGAGCTTTTCAACAGTGTTATCCTGCCTCCTAAAGAGAGATATTTTGACTTCCAAGAGGCCTGTTTCTTTTTTAATCTCTCCAGAACCGGATCCCACACTACTGAAGTAGTACATCTAGCCCGCAAAGGGAGCCCCAAATAAATGGTTGACAAGAGTCCAACTTGACAAGCCAGAATTTCAGCTAGTTCATCAATGTTCTCTACTTTTTCCACAAGAATTAATTTGCTTTTCACCCAATTCACTTTCAGCCCTGTAACTATCTCAAACCAACAAAGGACCCCAAACAACACTTCCAACTGATTTTTATCAGCATTAATGAAACAAAGGGTGTCATCAGCAAATTATAGCAACTGGACTTTTTCACCCCTCGGAGTGGTCTCAAAGCCATGCCACATGCCTGTAATTCCCACCTTATTCACAAAAGTTGTTAATAACTCTGTCACACAAATGAATAGGAGAGGAGAGAGGGGGTCACCTTGCTGGAGACCTCTAGAGCTCTTGAAGAAGAAAACTGATTGTCCATTTACTAGGACTGAAAACTTAGGGAAGAAGTACATACCTTCATCCAGTTCCTCCATCTTTGAACAAAGTTCATTTTATTCAAACAAAATCCAAGCACCTACAGTTAATGTGGTCATAGGCCTTTTACAAGTCTAGTTTATTGCCACTAAGACACTATCCAACATTTGTTAAAACCTTAGCTAGGATCTTGTAGAAGCTATTCAACAGACTTATTGGTCTGTAGTCTCTTATATTTGTTGCTCCCTCAACCTTTGGAATTAGAGAGATGAAGGTCGCATTAAGACTTCTTTCAAGAGCAGCATTAGAGTGGAAATCTTGAAACACCTTCATCAAATCCACCATAATCACCTCCCAACATTTTTTTTATAAAAAATATGTGAAACCATCTGGCCCTAGGGATTTATCCATTTCCAAGTTCTTTATCACATGCCATAACTCCTCCTTAGTAAAAAGGGGCTTCTAGCTTCTTTGTTGGACCTCTGAGATCCTCTTCAAATCCAAATCAATAGAGAGGGGGCCTAGGGGTGATCATGGGCCAGGTCGGGCCGGGCTTTGCATTTCTGATAAGGGCTATAACTTAGGCCCGGGCCCAGCCCGGCCCGGGGTTCCGAGCCTGAAACACAAGCCCTAGCCCAAGTCTATATGGGCTCGGGCCTGGTCGGGCCTAATTCCGGGCCAATGTCACTCATATATAAAACATTACATATCTATATATTAAATGGCATAACATGCATATAAACTTATTTTATACATTATATAATATAAAATATTACATATAATATAAATTATACATGTCATGTTATAATATTTATATGTAACATATATAATATAATGTAAAATAACATGTATACTTATGTATACATTATACACAAAATGTGTAAGTTTAAATATATGTAGGCCGGGCCCGAACTTAAAATTTGTAGGCCTGATATGGGCCCAAGCCTGGGCCAAGCCTGAACACAAAACCCAGGCCCAAGCCCGGAATTTTCGGGCTGGGCTGAAATGATCATCCCTAAGGGGGCCTCCTTTTCCATTTTTCCTTGAACAGATCGGAAAAGTATTGGGATGCTATACTCTTCAAACCACTCCAATCTTCACCTACTTGGCCATCAAGCTCTAATCTTTCTATTTGGTTAACCCTTCTTCTAGCAGCCATCCTACCAGAATTTTTATCACCTACTTTTAGCCAATTTACTTTTGCTCTTTGTATCCATTTTATTTCATCTCTATAGGCTGCTAGCTTGTCAAGAATCAGCTTAGTTTTAAGCCACTTTTTCCTTTCTTCCTCTGAAATAGGACCAACCTCTTTAGCCAAGTCAATTTCTTTGATTAGGTTCAGACACTTCCTTTTTTCTGATTCCGAGTGTTCTTTAAAACCTTGTGTCCAAGATTTTAGGTCTTTGACCAAACTAAGTTTCTTGGCAAGGATATGTGAGTTGGAACCCAGAATATCAGACTCTGACCATATTGAAGCTAGTAAAGATCCTATGCTGTCTTCTTCGAACTAGGCATTTTCCATTTTGAATGAGATTTTTCTCGATCTCGGCATCCCACACAACAGCTGAATAGGAGCATGATTTGAAACAAGCCTTGGAAGGATGATCCGCTTCACTTGTTGGAAGTCCTCTTCCCAATCCGGTGAGATCAGAAACCTATAAAGTTTGAACAAGGCCAGATTTTCTTTATTATTTGTCCAAGTAAACTGCCCAACTAAGAGAGGCAAATCTAAGAGCCCAAAGTGGTTCACAAAATTTGCATAGTTCCTTATCTCTCTTGTTCTCCAATAACCACCCTTTCTGTCCTCCATAAATCATTACATTAATGTCTCCCCCCAAAACCCAGGGGATATTGCGTTCCCTTCTCACCTCTGCTAAATCCTCCCAAAGTTTTCCCTTTTCAATACTAACCATCGGGCCATAGACATTTGTGAACTACCATTGACCTCCTCCTTCAAGCTCCAAAATTACTAAAACAGTGTACTCTCCTACCTGAGAATGAATGAACTTCCCTTTCACTTTGCCCCAAAGACTTAATAAACCACCCGCAGAGCCTCTCGCCGGCCTCCCCACTCACCTCACTTGACCCTAATCCCAAATACTTCTAATAACCCCAACATCCATGCATTCCAGTTTACTCTCCTGTAGGAATATCACATTTGACTTCCATCTTTTAAGCATTGCAGACACTACCACCCTCCTTCCCAACCCAACCCCCTCACATTCCAAGTTAGAACTTTCAATTCCATGAAGAATAGTGGTCTTCTATCCCCTTTTTAGGTCTTTTTCTTCACCCTCCCCCTTTTGACAGGCCATCCCCTTTCTCTGCACTGTCTTTCTAACCTCAAAACAGTCTCATCAACTCCCTGTTTTTCCTTCCGTCCTAGTTCCCTTTATTCCCCCGCAATTTTCCTCTCTCCACCAAATACCTTTTCTCAATATTTTCTAGGTACCTCACCATCTCTTCCTCCAACCCTTCAATGGATACCCCTAGGAAATTTCCCAGACCTAGCAGCTTTGACGAAACCCAAGAAGAGGCTTCTGCCACCCTTTTTCCTTTGTTGATCCTTTTCCCTTCTTTTTCCCCACCTTCCCCTGATATTTCTTGGAGGCTTTGCATTGAACTATTACCCTCCTTTCTTTTTCCATCAATGAAACTTGGGAAACACCCTTACCGGGCAAATCACAGGTACACTGAGGTGGAGAAAGATCAGGCGAACCAGTCTTCTCTGGATTCTTCCTTTTAAATTGTTAGTGTTTGAGTACTGAAGCGTCGAGGTGGGAATGAGTCATGGTTTGGGTTTGTAGAGTTCGATGGCTTTGGTTCATTCTCAGGTGATGGCGTTTGATAACGCTGTGGTGGTGACAAATCATAAGTTTCATTCAAGGTTCTAAATATCAATATAGGTTGATACGTTAATAGGACGTGCGACGTATCGGCCTATGTTGGTGCTTTTTTCATGTTTTATTTATTATTTTTTTTCAAAATTGGTTCAGAGGAATCAGTTTAAGTCCCGACTACCCTCTGAACCATGACCTGACCTGATACACCCCCTGTAGGGGCATATCGGGAAGGCCCTAATACGATACGTATCGGCCAAAAATATCTCTCCATGAAATAAAGCACATAAGTATAAAGATATTCCCAATGCAAGGCTGTAAAGGCTGTTCAAAACAGTCATTGCACTGACCAAAGCCGAACTTCTTTTTTACTTTAACTTAACAAATGTGCCACACTAATACTGTCTCCAAACAATCATCATGATTCATGACTAAGGAAGCAGGAATATAGGATCATCACAACTCTATGAACTTCAGCTTCCAAATAATCCATGGTTCTCAGCTGCTTGTGCTTGATAAAAGAAAGTTGCATGAGAACCATTGGATCACTGGTTCTTAATTGGATAGTTGATAAAAAAATTGCTTTTCTTTATCAATTTTTAAGAGATTTTGGCATTTGGATGGTTAATAAAGAAAATTAGATGACACTCGAAAGGCATTTGCGTCCTTTCATATGCTACTTAATGGCGGTTAATGGTTTTGTTCTAAATTTGTATGTTTTGGGAGTTTAGGTACTGCATTGACACGTTTTGAAATTTAGGGACCAAAGTGAGATTAAGCACAAAAGTACAGGGTACCAATCTGCAATTTCCCTTTTATTATAGGTATATGGATATAATATAGCTACAGATGTCACAATTAGAAACACAATGTTCCCATAAACAATATAGCTACAATTAACAGCAATTGACACTGCCAAGAATAAAATTCCCCCTAAACAAAGTAAGCAAAATCTATTACATGCACCATGCAACAAAAGATGTGACTAGTTGAACGTAATAATAAGTATACTTTGTTAAACGCAAAAGTATACTTTAACGTGGATTAATGAAAAATAGTCTGCGATTAGTTGGGATTTGGGTGTAACGTGCAGCCAATGTTAGTGAATGCACCATAGTTGAACTCAAAGTATTGCCTATATCCCAAGCAACATACTGCCAGAGGAAGAAGACACTTCAGGATGTTATGCATGTGCTCATAAAAGCATTTAGCCTCTGGGCATTTTCCTTGCAGCCATAACATATTGCTTGTGCAAGAATTTTCATTCTAAATCAGGAAATTGTTTTAGACCAAAATGAATTTTGTCATGGAATAGAGAAACCTTCCTCAAGGCATTCTGTTCTAATTTGCTGCATAAGGTGCTGAAGAAGACTAGGATGGCTTGTAACAATGGCATCTACATGCTCATACAGCATTTTACTCATGGAATCTTCATCATCGACAGTCCAAGCATATACCTTCTTGTTTCTCCTGAAATGCATTCTGTCAAGGACGGAATTGAGGAAAAACAAGTCCATGCACAAAAAAAATTCTAGTATGAGTTCATACCCGTGCAGTATTCTCATTAGTTTAGAATCAACCAAATGGTGGTAAATGCCAACAACCTTCGCATCTCTCATCCTCAATAAGTTGGTTCGAGCACCAGTTGAAGGGTCCTTCATGACTATGTAACCTACCTGTAACAGCAGAAGATATTACTGAAATGCGGCAATAACATAGTCAAAGACAGTTACTGAACTTGAGCATCCCAACACTTTTTCTAGTGGAAATAATGGTCGAGCATGAGTCTTGTGACCATGTTGTGAGGTGTTTATTTGGACTTTGTTTTTTTTTTTTTTTTTGGGGGATCTATCAGTCTTTACTTTTCATAATTGGGGGTACATTATAATTGTAAATCATACAAATACCCTAGTACATATCCTAATAGAATGAGGGGCGGCAGATTTGATTGAGACCTTTCAACATTTCCTCTTCCTTGTCCTTTTCATCTTTCTCCTTTTCTATTCCCTCCTATTTTGGGATAATTACTTATATATACCTAGGTGTTTGAGGAAACTACTTATATATACCTTGTAATTTCAAAACCTACTTATATGTACCTTTTAAGATGGCCACATTTAAGAAACGCTTATGGTCGTTTCATTTGCCAATTATTTTTTTAAATTCCAAGTTTACCCCTTTGATATTGTTCTCTGTTTCAAACTGGATTTCCCTGACGGAGAGACAAAAAGAGACTGAAACTGAGATCCAATCAAATCAAAATCAATTGAATTGAGAAACCCTAAGATGCGATTTCATTGAGCTCTTGTAAATGGATCTTTGAGTTGGGATAGAAAGCCTAGCAATGGCATTGAAGAAAGTGACCGAGCTTCAGAGCATCAATCCACACATTTGGAAGGTGTTTTCTGGAAGCTCCATCAAGATCCCCACTGTCAGTTCTACAATTTCCTACTTCCCCCAAGGCCACACCTGTTAGACAGTTTTGTATGCCCTTAGCTTCAATTTGAATTGATGTACTTTTGATATTTAGTGTAAATAAATAAAGTGCATGTTTGATTCATATTGTTTAATTCTGTGTAAGACCCTAAAACTGGACACTCATTGAGGCTCGTGTTAGTTTTGAATGTTCACAACCATTGGATAAGTCTGGGGAGATTTATCCTGCCAAGGCTGATATTGGTGTGCCACTAAGTGTTGGGATAGCCTGTCTCGGCCACCARGGTAAGACCCAAGGCACATGTAGTATGGAATTATTCGAATCCTTGAACCGGACCAGATTTTCAGTATTGCCCTGGACCTTGGAGACAGATGGGCCAAACTGGAAAGTTACACCTGACCCCTAGACTCGATTGTGACACTTCACTATGTGTTGGATTGGGCTGTCTTCGATATGCCAATCAATGAGATCCTTAGCGAGGATCAAAACCTGGGTATGTTGGGACAGTCTGAGAATTCATCTGAGTGGGTGATCATAATGACAAGATCAGCCCCTTTGTCGGACAAAGGTAATGATCGGGAAAGCACTCTCTCTGATGGAAACTAAACTGCCGGCAGTTGATTTCAATCGTTGGAATTTTGTTTTGCAAAATT